TTTTGACGTGAATCAATTCATGACACCCTTTAAAAACCTTGATGTTTGTATTTGATTAAATTAATATGCAAAATAATTTGATCAAAAATATAATTGTATGCATTTTGCAATACGTAATAAAAATTTACATGAATTTAATTAGTCAGATTAAAAAAATGCAGTCACATTTTAATTCACTGACGTTGATCACAACAGTAGCAGCATAGTGGAGGCCATCCACTCGTTGCGACGAGCAATACACTACTGCTTCTTTGTCTATAATACCGATGGCTCTAAAGTGAGTACTTCCATGTATCACGTAGCTATGCACAACTGCCGTGACGCTCTTGTAGGCATGTATGGCGGGACAGTGTCAAGTGTTTCTAGTTGACACTCTAATTAAATACTTGTATTTTTTTGTTTGAGATTGAAAAAAACTGACCAGACTTCAGCATTGAGACATGTAATAAAATATAGAGACGAATATTATCATATCCAATCATACAAGGCCAACACGAAATATCGAGATGCTATTGGCTAAAAGTCAGACAGTCTCATAATTTGGTGCCGTGTCAACAATTGATGCATTACCTTACTCTGTATATGTGGCATCATCCCTCATTGAAGAAATGGACGACTTATGACTTGGTCAAAATAACTTGACCATACAACCAGGGGCTATTTTATTCCGTAGGCTCGGCCGATCGATGAAGATTGCAGTGGTGTGGGCGATTCTCTTGGTGTGGACATCATGCACCGAAGCAACTTGTGATGCAGACGCTCAGTGCACCATGGACGAGCGCAGTCAACTTAACTTCGACATCGTCGAAAGCGTTGTCTTGGCCTCATCCGTGTCACGCGTCCATCGATACACCGCCGCGTCGTACGCAGCCAACGACCCGAACGAAGTCAGACACGACATCATGTCATACACTCATCGTCGTGCGTAGGATCGATACGTAGTGCAAGTTGACTCGGACGCAGTGTTCGCGTCCGTCTTGGACGGCCACGGGGGCTGGCAGGTGGCCGAGTACGTGAACAAGCACTTGGTCAACGACACCGCCGCCCTGCTTCGAGATGTCGCTTCGAACGACCCCACCTACGTAACATGCGCTATCCATCATTATTATCTTACGGTGTGCTTGTGGTTGCATGCAGATCGCATCGTTGTTGTCGAGTGCGTTCGTGGCCACCGACGACGCGATGCGCACCCTCCTGCTTCCAGCCTTTCAGTTGGGATTCGGGGAAGTGAACCGCGTGGGTGCGTGCTCGATGCTGGCGTATGCAAAAGAGGACACTTTGGTCGTGGCCAACGGTAAGCACATTATCGTTCGATATCCAATCCACGAACAATTATCGTAGCCGGCGACGTAAGAGCGGTGCTAGCGTCGATCGATGCCTCGGGGGGGCTGGTGGCAACACCCCTGAGCACCGACCACAACGCCAAGCACGCGTCCGAACAAGCTCGGTTGGTCGCAGACCATCCAAATGAGTCCAACTTGGTCATGTGTCAGTCGCGCGAGGCGTGCTACGTCAAAGGCGGCTTGCAGCCCACTCGGTAAAAACTTCGTCAAGTGAATGCATGGCCACAAGCTACTCGTAGCGCGTTGGGCGACTTTGCCTTCAAATATGAAGAATTCAACACGTTTCCTCTCGGTCCCAAGCATAAAGGCGGCGGTCGCTTCATCCCGCAGCCATACACACCGCCATACGTGCTGGCAGTTCCGGAAATCCAAGTACATACGTTGACGGATGCTGATCACTTTCTTATTTTGGGTACATATACCTGTATATATCTTGATTTTTCATACGTGTATTAATATACTTAACTTCTAACAAGTCTACCTGCTATCGTACTTGTGCATCGCGAAAGTATATATTGAGTGGAGCGGTGCGTAAGTTTAGGAAGCGATGGACTATGGGATGACCTGTCCAACGAAGAAGTACGAAAATGAATCAATAAATACTTTTTCTTATACTATATAACCATTGCATTTATATGGCATTGATAGGCGGTGAAAATTGTCGCTCATTTCGCGTCTCGTGGTCTGCACAACCTAGCCGCCCAGGCATTGATTGACCAGGTGATCGCCAAGACAGCTGATGGATTCCAGTACGTAAAAGTAATGATTGTTTCCGAACAATATTAATATTTTATTCGCTTCTCGGATTTGAATAAAGACTCTACTATTATTGCTTGAAAAATCTGATGCACCGTGTTCAAAACAAAGTATTCTATCATTGTATCGTGTGATACCTTGAACTCAACCGATTTTAGAGTGCGTGCGGCCGATATTGCCGCCTTGATACCAGGACGCAAACGACGTCAAGTCCACGATGACACGACCGTCGTGGTGCTATTTTTCCAGCCGTCATCAGCATGTTCCGTACGAACAACATAATCGAGCACTAATTACTAAAGTATTAACTACCTCAATTGAATTCGAGCACCAATAGTGCAAACTGCCTCTCCAAAGCCAGAGTCTAAAAATATTTATTGCATATTCAATAAATATATGTATTCAAGTCGGGGACCAAAATAGTGTTTTTTACTGTGGTCCTGTCTGTAAGCGGTGTGTTTGTGTCCCAACCACTTCCTAAGGGCCCGTCTGGATACCACTTTTATTGAGAAATATCGCGATAATTTTGCAAAATATTCAAGAATCTCAGCGACTTCAATTTGGCGTGTCTGGATGCCATTTCTTGACCGAGTTATATTCCATAATTTTATCAGAAATATCGTGAAAACCACAAGAAATAATATTCTACTCATGAGTAGAATATTTTGACGATATTGACAGTGCGCGTTGAATTGTGGGGCATTTCGGAATGAGAAAGGCCACCGTGGTTGCCTTCCTACGTCGATGGCCCATCCGCCGCCGCGTGCGCCCACGACCCATCCAAGCAAATGAACCGGCACGTTGCCGCCTCGAACCCAATACCAGACGTCTTCGTAATCTGTGAAACCTGCGCGTATTGCTTCTTCATCTCGGCGCTTCTCGACTTGCCTTGTTCTTTCGTGTAGATGACAGCGTGGTCGGAGTTGAGTTTCGTTGTTGCGGCATGCCAATCTTCTCGCTTGAAGCCACTGTTGGCTCGCTTGCCCAGCACATGCACCTGGTGAATCATTTCCTTCATCCAGGTGAAGTCTTTCTCGTCGTCCCAACTGGCCCTTCCGTCGTCCATCTTGCGTTCGGAGTTGCGCGCCAAATGACAGAGACGGTTTCGGATCTGGACGTCTAAACTATCCTCTGATTGGCTGTTCATTTCCGAACTTTCTTTAATTCTATGGCATCCAGACACACCACCCAAAATCATTCTTGGATCTTGAAACCCAAGAATTTCCTGCAATGTCGAAAAATGTGTTTTATTCAATATTCCAATATCCCATAATATTGGTGGGTGGCATCCAGACGGGCCCTAACAAAACCCTACCAAGGCTTACCATCCGTATATTTCAGCAGTTATTCGTATCGTCCAAAATACTTCGTGAAAATTATCTATATTTGCGGCACAGTATGCGTTGCACCAATGAAGACAATAGGTCACCAAACCAGTTTGTCACATATTTCGGAAGAGCATGAATGCTTCAGTGAAAGCCTCGTTTATATCCAATATGCTTTAGCTACTGATGACTTGCTCTGGTATTTCTGAAGAAATAGAGAATTTTCCTCATTAGTCTGCAATTCAGTAATATCCAAGTCATTTCCAAAATGACTCGATAGTAAGCGATAACTGAGTAGTAGATCGGAATCAAGGACAAAGTTTCCATAATAGGTAGTTAAGATATATGTATACTTGTTGTTTGTATGGATTTTGATATTATTACTCTACTGCATACAAATTTCAAATTATTTATTAAAAACCTCATGTATTTATTAGCGGCGACTACTCGCCATGGGAGGCAAGGACGTGCCACGCGAAGTACGGCTGGCGCGGGCAGCTTCCGTCGCAAACCGCTCTGCACGGCGCTGTAGGTATCTGCGTTAGTTCGCGGCTCTCTTTGAGGTGTTCTCAGCTACCATACGATAGTGGTCATTGTCCTCGAGGCGCAACGGCATCACACTTCCAGGACGGCTTCGCCGTATTCATTCAAGCTTTGCTGGAGGTCGAGGATATCCGAGGCAGTCTGGTCCTGGAGGCGCTCCATCATAGACGACACGTTGAGACGCATGGTACACAGGAGATGAAAGGGATGAATTATGAGTTACTAACGTTAGTAAAGGAATGGTTAGAAGGCACTCTTGAGGATGTTGAGCTGTCGTTGTGATTGGCGCGAAAAATTAAAGCCAACGAGAATTTGAGTCAAAGCTGTAGTTGTCAATCTTTCAGCCAAAGAGTCAGTAAATAATTTTATCGTATATATATCGTCAGTTGAGGCACAAAATGCGAAATATCTCGATGTGATTCCAATATGTTGCACTATTTGAGCAAAAACTGTGTAATTGGTCCAGAGGCCTAATGTACTTCCCCGGGTGTACGTACAGTTTACATTCACTAAGCGCTGATTAATGCACCCTGTAGAATTCACCAAACTGCCATGCACACCGCACTAATTAGGGCTTCGCCTAAGGGCATAACCTTATTCGTTTTTGCGACTGATTTTTTGGACTGTGAATCGCATCGTTTACAGTACGTAATGCGCCAACATTGCACATCACAGATCTCATTGCACAGACCTTAGACTTTTACTACGTACTGTAGCTCGAAAATGGGTTGCAATAGTGCATCACGACATGTCCATGCCGAAAAAGTGCATGTGGTACTGCTCAAAATTCAAATACATCGTACACCCATTGTTCACATCGCCTCAAGTGTCGAACGCGTCACATTTAGTTGGTCCTACGATTTTCTTATCCAATAAGAACTCAAGAAAATCACAATTTGCGGAATCAGGAAACTGACTTAGGGAGAAATAGCCTATCACATATTTATTCTGAATTCATAATCATTAGCCGATCACATTGCTCTTATTCACATGTTTCCAGAAATTCTCATAACACACTGCCCCCAGAAGTGGATCTTACTCTATATTCAATTCAGCAAATCTCATGTGTCCTTCGGCAAAAACTATGTACGATTCAGCAATTCTTATGTGGCTCTCAGCAATTCCTACGTGGTCCTTAGCCATTCTTATATGGTAATATTTTATCCTCCGGGTTTCCTGAAACTTTACCACAACTCGGCAAAATCTCATGGATCGCTACGAGACTGCGAAGCATCGTACACCCTTGCACAAGAGTGCATGTATCTGTTATCGGCCGAGCCTCTGTTCGACTCCCCGTGCCTGGTGTGGGTAGCCGAATGTTGGTCACGAACGACATTTGAAGAGTGTGAAATATGACCTGGATCGGAGCGGCATATGTTCCGAGCTAATGGTACACTGTACGATGCATGACTTGTAGAGAGTAGTGAAGTGATAGGAGGGAACTTACTGATTGACTGGATAATGAAGTTACTTTTGGATTTGTCATCGAGGTCACCGTTGTGAACACGGTAGTCGTCGGTTGCGAACACCGGCCCAAGACAACAAATAATTCTTTAGCTGTCTTACAGACACGCTAGCGACTGAACGCATGGAGTTTCCCGGAACAGGAAACGAGCATGCCTTGGACGTGGAGCTACCTGTTAGCGACCACGGGGACTCTATCCGAGCTCGATCCCGGTCGGATCGCTCGAGGAGTCCTGCAGCCCGTGCACCGAGCGTGGACCGCTTTGATGACCGCGGAAGGCCCCGGACCAGTGCGACTGCGCGGCGGCTGTTGCGGTCACCACAAGGAAGGCGACAACCGGTGGCCGTTGATGAGGCCTGGAGTTACGGGAGACCGGCGACGTTTGCGGCTCCCGGGTTTGGCGGTACATCCGGGACGGCGCCCAGACCTTAGCTGGACAAGGAAGATGAAGATATGGGACAGAACGACGTGCACCTGCACAACGCCCCGGCCCTCCCGAAGAACCCGACGTTCAAGGGATCCACCAAGGAAGAACTACGCGTTTTTATGGCCGCGTACAATCTGTATATCGGCCAGACGAATGCACTGACTGCCAACGGGGTCCGACCGTTCATTATGCCCGTGAGGGCGTGTATCGAACCTGCGAGAAAGCAACGTATTGCCGAATGGGACATGGGAAAGGACCCCGATGACGTGTCCGAGGGCGAATGGATTGCGTGGTTCAAGCAAGGTTTCGACGTCGATCCCTGGGCCCTGGACGCCCTGAAGAAGCGAATTAAATCTGCTGTTGTTTTTGATATATCGGTCCCGGACGCAGATTCCCAGATCGGACGTATGCTGGATGGTTTGGCTGCGGCTATCCGTAGGGACCGCCAGAAGTGGGTGATCCGGGAAGAGAGCCAGGCGATCGTGAAGATCATCACTGACGCTGTCAAGCCTGCGTCATTACACCATGCCGTTACCGAGCAAATGGCGTTGACGCGAAACAAGCCTTTGAATAAGGATGTGTACCGTTTCGTGCGCTGGTTGCGGGAATATGCGATCGGTCACGAGCGTTTTGTGGGTTACGAAGAAGAGTTGAAGCCGCCCGCGAGACCAGACCTACCGAAGCCGCCCGGGTCTAAGGTCCTGGGAGGACCCAGGGGCCCGAGGGGAGACACGAAGCCCCTGACACCTATTCCGAACGCACCGGCTATCGGTGCACCGAACAACGGTTGTCTGAAGTGTAAATCGACCAGCCATCGGGTCCGGGAATGTCCCGGGATCACCCCCGAAGAGGTCAAGCAACTGCTA